TGTCTGTTTTACTTAACTGGCCATTGGGAAATATAAGCAAAAATATCTCCCACACCTTCAAGCAAACAAAAGATATTCTGTAAAAAAATCGTAATGGTTTTTCAGATATTTTTTAATGTCTTTGGGAAACAGAATTTTCTGCTTTAAAAATAATATTTAAAGTTAATATTTTTAAGAAACTAAACAAATGAGGGACACATGGATTCATGTGTCTTAGTGTCTTTGTGAAGCCTGATACACAATAGTTTAGATTTCTAAGTTCCTGAGACCTCTGGAAAAATATAAAAAGCTACGAAAAAAATAAAAGGTATAAAAAATCCAAACCTGAGTGTTCATTATTTCTGAATTACCAGGGAGCTCACGATCAGAAATATGGTATCAGCCTTGCTGCAGAGTATTATGGCTTCAAAATAACTTCCTCTTCTGGAACGGATCAGAACAAGTGATTTGCATAACAGGTAGTATACTGTCCCATTTTGGTCGTTTAAATATAATAGCTATGATATGCATAAGACATATTGAGTAAATTTTCCCTGATTTCATAGGGCTAGCTGGATATTTTTAAGTATCTTTCCAAAATAATTTCACAGTATGAATTGAAAAAATATTGGAAGAAGCGATTCTTCCCTTCAGCTTTACCAGAAATATCCTTTCATCTCCACAGGAGCTGGGACAGGGAAGCAGAGGGGGGCACTGGGGCTTTTATGGTCAGCATGGTGGTTGCTTCTGCTCTAGCTTCCCAAGGTGACCACTTAGGATGATGAGTGAGATCTTTCTTGTGCTGGATGTTCCCATATTTGTTGCAGTTATTGTCTACAGTTCACAAACTGCAGCCATTTGTACTTTTTCAGTGCGGGGATTTACTGATGGGAAAGGACTTGCTCCAGGCCAGAGAGCAAATGTTACCACTGCCTACGTTGCCTCTGTACCCATCTGTCCATTTTTACTCACTACCTTTACGCCTGTCCCCTGCTGCAGGATGCAATCAGTCCACAGCTGGAATGTGGCCAGGAGACCACGGCTAACACTCCCACCCCATTTTTTATGCAAACTTGATTTATGACTTTGATCTTATTTTAAATAATTTAAAAATTAAATAATTTATACAGTATCTGTGACTTTCCAAGGCTCCTTTCTTTGTTCTTGCTTTGCTGTTCTGCATTTTCCTATCTTCCCAACCCTTTTTGATCTGTGCACATTTCCTTTTCTGCATGGTGGGGCAGCAGCGGCATGAGGCAGCAGCTAACTACTTGCCACTTTCTTCATAGATGGAAGACCTGCAAGAACTTTTGCCACTGTTGCTTATTTGGACCAGGACTATACTATCACCATTCATAATCTGGATTGATTTTTACGGCCTGTGATTTTGGCCTTGGCCACCCCACTTACGAGGGTCTGAGAAGATGTGCTGCTCTGAGCTGGAGTGTGTGCCTCCAGGTTCATTCTCTACTGGCAGCAAATCAAGGGTAGTACCACTTAACATCAGTCTCCTTCTATCCAGGCTGTGTTCAGATCTATACCTCAAGCTGGCTGTAACTGAGACTGCAGAAACAGCTATCAATACCCAGCTGATGTACATTCACAGCAACCTGACAACAAAAAGGGCTGGTGACCTGTATATGTGAACCAAAATAAATAATAGCCCACTAGAAGGGGTAGTTAAATGAGTATGGGAAAATAGTGCTGAAAAGGAAAAAAAAACACTAAACCAATCCAAAAACCCTGAAACAAATTAGTATAGGGGCTCTGGGAGCTTTAGGGAGCCATGAAACCTGGCTTGCCTTAAGCTGCATACAAAAGAGGTGAGATGGGTCTGATGTGACTTTCTGTGTCACTGAAACAGCACACGGAGTTGGTGCCAAGCTCTGTCTGGTGTGCTTGCAGGTGGCACATGAGGAGGGGAGGTAAAACCACACACTGAGGAGAGCTCCCTTTGCTTCCTGACTTTTGTTTTACCTCTAGATCTGAGTCCATATGGCTGCTGAACCTAAGGACTCTTTGCTTAGCTGATGTGATGCCGCTGCTGCTCTCAAGGTTAAAGTTGCTGAAGCTGAGGTTGAGTGGCTTGGCAGCTAGCAGCAGCAGGGAATGAACTGTGACATGGCCATTTGCTGAGCTGCAAAGGAGGTAACTTAAAGAGGAGCTGGGGCCCAAAGCAGGCCTGGTGGCAACACTAACAACTATCAGTCAAACACTGATGGATGGAGACCCTTACTACCCCTCACTGCTGCTGCTGGTTTGCAAATCCATGGCTGCCTACCAGTCTCTCAAACAGCTCCACTATGTGGGTTTCTGCTGCACTAGTTGATGCATGAAGACCTTTTCCAGGAACTAATCCAGTGCTGGTGATGTGCATTATGCCTCTCTGGGGGAGAGTCAACAAGAAAATGCTGCCTATGGGACTTGGCAGCCTTCTCCATGGGGACGGACCATTAGAAACTCTCATGGGATTGCTTGAGATCTCTTATACGGAGACCTCAGTCAAGCTTAGACTGCAGGAGAATAGCTGGGAGGACAGGTTATGAGTACAAATCGGAGAACCTAGTGCCTCATGCTAGTCTTGGCCTTACTACTAAGCACTGAGGCAGCTCCTAAACTTGTGTCGCTGTCATACCACATGGAGAGACAGCACAAGAGAGAGCTGTGTCCCTGAGGGAGAAGGGAAAATAAATAAATCTGATCACCAGCTTTATTTGGACATGAGGAAATGAAACCACAGGGTCAAACAATTCACCCAAGGTCACACAAGTTGCTGGTGGCAGTGGCATCAGCTGTCATCACTGCCCTGCTCTTGATGTTTCACCTTCCCTCTTCTTGACTTGCCTTAGCTCTTCAACTTCAGTTCAGGCTGAATAAAACTGCTCCCCCCCCCCCTCCCCCCCCCCGTTCCCCTATCGATCCCTTCATCTCCTGCTGGCATTTGTGAGGTGCCAATCACCCTGATATCTAAGAGCCAGCAGTCCAGGTTGGATTAATCGGGACCAAGGAAACGTCACAGAGCCACGGCGCTCCCTTCCTTCTCTTTTGTGTGAGACTGTGAGATGAAGTAGATAGGGAGGCTGATTGAGAGACAGCATCCGAGCACACTCTGGGTGTACAGGCACCACACGGAAATGTGATCCCATCATTTAGACAGCTCTGAAGTCCCCAGGGTAATTGATGTCATCAGCTTGTCATATCCAATGGGTCAAGATCTAAAACTTATTCTTTCTTCCTTATTAGCATATTTACCAGAAGAAAAAAAAGAAAAAAGGGAGGATGGGTCCAATTCTGCTTCCACAGAAATCAGGAAAAATATTCATTAGTTTCCAGTGGAATGAAAGCAGACACAGGAACTGCTTTCACTCTTTCTTCAGTAATAAATCCTCACTCAAGCACCTACCCTCATAATGTCCTGTGCTATCTGGTGAGAAATAAATGGAGGGTGTAAAGGTGCAGGCTGCATCCTCTTTTATATCAGTATTACACTAGATTAGCAATTAGATTAAAAATAATGCAAAAAGGTTTTGGACCAGAGCATCAGGACAGTGATGCTTTTACCACTCTCCTGATCAGTACCTGTAGTGTAACACTGGAGCCACATCTCCTGCCTGACAAACTCTGTAGATATTTGTCCTGAGCTGCCTGTGGGTTTCATCCTGCTAGTTCCTTTGTAACATGGGGGCACAGATACTGCATCCCTCTGCCAGGCTGCTGGCCACTGACCTGGGCTCAGCTGTGATTTACCCTCTCTTATCCTCTTCCTGCAGCTTTCTCTGGCTAGGAGGACCGTTAAAACAGCCAGGCTGGAGAGGGAGAACTCTTCTATCATGTGAGGAGGGGAGCAGAGGACAAAGGAAGAGGTAAAGTCCTTGTGAACAAAAATAAAGAAGGCAAAATGAAAGGAAAAACAGAATTTGTCTAGTAGGGAGAGAATAGAGTGCAGTATAGCACCAGAAGGTGCAGGTGGGAGAAGAACAGGCACTGCTGTAGAGCTCTGTAGCATGTCCTCAGGACTCTACACAGCACACTCAAAGGTTCGGTTGTACAAAGTGTTCAGTGAGGCACAGGACACTCAGCCAAGGCCCTCAAGTTAAAACCAGATCATGTGGATGTGATGGGAAATCTATGCTGCCAACACAACAGAAAGAAATATGTAAGCAGGAAAGCAGAGCCTTGCAGTCAGTGTGCTGGAAAGGAGCACAGGTACACTGGAGTGTGATTCCTGAGCTGGCCCTAAGACAAGGCATGTGGTCTCTGTCATTCAGGAAGGTGTCACTCTGGAAAATGGGATTAATGGCATTTCCCTCCTGCACACAAATCTAGCAGAGTACAAGAGCGACACATGACGCACTGTCACTGCCTGCAAATCTGCTCCAGAGAAGGCAGCCAAAGTCACCTGGCAATGTTGTGTCTGCCTGCTTGCAGAGATCACCTCTACTTTCCTCTTCAGACAGTTCTGACATAGGGCAAAGAATTAAGATAAGCCGAATCCAGGCCTATTTTATCCAAATCTTCAAAGGCTCATTGTGTTTGGATTTGACAGCAATGGCTTATGCCCCATAGGAAGCAACTTGCATAGGTTTTCAAATGATCACAGAGTGGTTACTGCGAGAATTACCTATTGCACCTCTGAGACTTGTCTTCGAGATGCCCTTATCTGGCCTTGATGACATGGCTTCGTATTCTCCCATCATGTAACCAATTTAAAGAAGAAATCTCTGTCTCCTCTGCTCAGTTGTTCCTTTGATCCTGTGCTTTTGTGCAGTTCTACGTGCTATTCATAGAATCATAGAATCATAGAGTCATAGAATCATAAAATTATAGCATTGTTTGGGTTGGAAATGACCTAAAGATCATTCATGGACAGGGACACCTTCCACTAGAGCAGGTTGCTTCAAGTCCAGCCCAACCTGGCCTTGGACAATTCCAGTGATGGGGCATTCACAACTTCCTCAGGCAAACTGTGTCAGTGCCCCACCATTCCCGTGAACATGCACAGAGCCAGTGTCTATACTTACTGCCTGTGCATAGGCGCCATATGCTCCAAACTGGATGGCCATGGGGTTGAACATGCCCATTTGTCCTGCCATTTGCTGCATGCGTCTCATTGTACGCTCCTTGTCCGTATCTGCAAACTTCACCACCAGGCTTGAAGAGGCTCCCTGCAGGACACAAAATAAAAAGAGACATGCAAGGGAATTAGCTTGGTACACATATGCCTATGTCTGACACAGATTTAGTAGCATGGGATCCAGCTGAATCTTATCTTTTCCATGCAAACTCTCAGGACTTTTGAATTTGACCTTTGCAATAGGCTGAGAGCATCAGGAAGGAAGTAAAAGACCCGGGAGTGTAAATAACTGAGGTCAGAAGCCTGGTTCCTAGTTTCCTCCAAAATTTGAGTTTCCAGGTTGTCATTAATGTTCTCTCTGCAGAAGTTGTTTCCTTATTCATTCAATCTATAGACAGCCTTTTGGACCAGCAGGCTGCCCTTACTAGAGGATCTGGACTCAATGCAGCAAAATGTAGGAGCTTTTGCTGAATAAATGTTAGGATTTGAGAACTTATCTATTTTGATGGAATATGTTAGCTCAATGTATGCCAGACCACTTGAGCTGGATCACCCCTTGACGCTGGTGTGTCTTGAAGCCCTGATGTCCAATGAGAAATCTGTACCCCTCGGAGACAAGATTCAGTACCCTGAACAGAGTGTACATCTCATCATGAGGCAGCACTTCTTCAGCACTGTTAAACTAGAAGAGGAAAAATAGTACCTGATGGACCTGAGTTTCTTTTCCATAAACAGTAAGAAATAGAGCCTACCACAAAAGAGCCCACATTTAATGCTAAATGTTTCCAGGAGAGCTTTACAATGTTTGGGTTATGTCTGCAGTCAACACAGGTGGAGAACTACAGATGATCATCAGACTTCAGAAGTCTGTGAAAAATACAGACCTTTAGGGAATGAAAAAAATTTCTGTTTTCCCCCAAATGAGATGAAAGGTCAATAACTGCAACTCTAGAATTTCTCAGAGGAGGCTGAGATGGGAAGAAACTGATCTGCTTAGGAAGGAAGGCACCAGCTTCATGGGTTGGCTGATTCCCCATAGTGCAGTCTCCCTGGGGAAGTAGGGTGCAAGGGCGGGGGGATGTGGCAACAGCCCTGACTGCAGTCAGACAGTTGCCTTTGGAGCTGGGCTGCCACCGACCCTGGGGAGATGGGCAGGTGAGCTGTCAGGAGACTGACAAAGAGCAGCTGAAATTACTGCGTTCCCATGGTGCACATCCCTTTTGACACGGTGATGGAAATACAGTCAGTGGGGAAATTGCCGGCTCAGCCTCCGGCTGTGGTGGTAGGGGAAGACCAGGTCCATACTAGAGGAGCTGGTCTGTTGTGGGGCCCTTGTTTTTCTAATGCAGGTGAGATTGCACAGGAGGAGTGTTATTAACTGGCTCACATACACCCCGACATATCTGTAACCAGAAAAACGTCTCAGTGAAAGCAGAGCTGCTCTCCTACAAATTGGGAATAGCGTAGTAAACCACAGCTATGGTTGTACATATATATAAGTCCAAGCTATGCATATTCAATAGCCTCTCCAGATCCTCAGTTATGAATAAAGACTTAAGGAATTAACTTGCTTAAAAAAAACACCCTAAAACAATCTAAGGCTACACAATGAGCAATGTTCCACTGGATTTGCAGGCTGTTCTGGTAGGAAGTGATTTTCATTGGCAAAGAATCTTTTTGACCTGTTTGTCTCTCTGTAATAAATCTATAACCCACTCATACAATCTGGTGAAGAGCAAGCGGCTGAAAGAAGTGCTTCAGGAAAACAAAGGGATGGAGAGATGAATGCTCTATTCAGTGGTGGAAAACAGTCTACAAAAGGTATTACAGGAGAAAAACAGAAAGAGGGTGAGGGGAAGAGAAAAAAACCCCAAACACTTAGCTAAAATTTTCCTGCATTTCATTTAAAGTCTGGGCAACTTGAATTTTTTTTTTTTTAAATCACATGATGTAGTTATTGATCCTTCCCCAAATCACACTCTTAATTGCAGCTCATCGACAAATGAATATTTTAATGCATACATTTCCTGCTAATTATCACCTGGACCAGTCTTTAATTAGATTTCAGCACTCATTTAATTAACCCTGATCCAAGAGACTGTTTGGTAACCTGAATCTAATGATTTAAACCTATTTGCAGCTGTATTGGAGGGAGGCACTGGTCCCCAGCAGATTCAGCTGTTCAGAGCTGCTGTTGTTGCAGAGCAGAGGCTGCATTATGGTGGGCACAATGCGGCATGGAGGATTTTGAAACTGAATAGACTGAGTGGGTATTCATCTCTGCAAACGGGTTTTGAAGAAGTGACCTGCTCTAGTTAGCAGGACTGAAAAGTGTATACAAGTTAGTGTTTTCTTCTGCTTTCTTCCCTTCTGTTTTCTTTCTGTCTCTATTTGCCCTGGAAGTCTTAGTGACAGAGAACTGCCTCAGGAAATTGTTATTTTCTCACACTGTTGAAAATCAAGATATTACTGTAGATGGCATCATGAAAACATGGGTAACTGCCACATGAAGTTCTTGCCCCTGGAGTGTTCTTCTCTCCTGATGTGAGTCGCAGGGACTGCACAGCAGCCATTTGACCTGATGGGATCGAGGACTACTTCTCATGAGATGTTTCTGCTGGGTTGCCTCTCGCAGCAGGACTTCAGACCTCTTTGAACATCACTGTCATATACACAGGGCAGAAAGGCCATTAGCAAATAGAAGAAAGTTAGAGGCCACACTGCAAAGAAAGAGGAGAAAAATGATGTGTTTTTAAGAGTTCTCTGCAATGACGTGCATGTAAGCAGTTAGAGGTATGTATCCAGTAGGGATGCTGCATTGCACTTGAATATGAAGATTGACCTTGGGATTGACACTTTCTGTATGTAGTTCCTCATGTGTACCCTTCTCATGCGGCCTGAAGTAAATCAGGCAGTAAACTCTATCAGATCACCCAGTGCAGGATTTTTAGCAAAGTGCTGTTTACCTGCAGCAGGACAAGACTACTTTCTACTCCAGTGACTGCTACTAATCCACTGGATAGCATTAGAAATAGCCCAGAGTGGGCCAGATTTTCTATGGGATGAAAACTGCAGAGCCATTCATCTGAACTATATATTGTTTCTGTAAGCAGTTAAATGATGGTGTAAATCAGCTGTTGTCTGCTGACAAAGGCAACAGGTCTTGTCTGCTCAGTCATTTATTAGTAATACATAATCTCCCTTTTGCTCTCTCTGGTTGTTAGACTGGACCTTATATTTTGCCAGCCCCCAAGAGAGTCACAGTGGGTGAGTCAATAATGTTTTAAATGTACTTTGAGATTTCTCTGTTAATTCTGCATTTTACTGAGGGAAGGACCTCTTTATTTCTTTACCCTGCAGATCTACAGTTAAAAAAGAGTATCAACAAAGTGAGCATTCCTGCAGGTGCCCCTGCAATAAGTTATTTGGAATTGGCATTTATCTCCTTTCCCATCAAATCAACCTCTTTTTTCAAGTGCTTTGGTATCTACTGATGAAAAGAGTAATATAAGGGCTAAGTATTATTACGCTTTCCCTATTTTCTCTTGGGCCAGCAAGTCTGCTTAACACAACTATCTTGCTTCCTGTCCTACTCCCATGTGTGGTAATGAATTGCTCCCCTTAGACATCAGAGTCACGTGCTCTCTAGGCTGGCAGGGCGAGGGAAAAGATGGAGGAAAAATCACTCTGCACCACATTCACTTTGTAATCCCTAATCAGAGTCCTCTGTGGGAAAAACTAATTTCCCAGCCTGTCTTGATGTGTGAAATAAAGTCATTCTTGAAAACGGGAGCTTGACAGGTCGCTTGTGAAATTTCATATTCAACTAAAAATAAAATATCCATCCATTGATATTTAATTTAAAGGCGAAGGAAAACAAATATTTTGCCTGGTTGTTGGGACTGTTTCCCATTAGTTATGACCTTCCAAATGGAGTGTATACACAAATTAAGCAAAAGCTTTTCAGGAGACCAAATATTACTGCATGGCCTCAGGGAAAGTTGTTTCTCCCTAGAACAATATTCATAGGAAAAGTTTTGTGAAGGTGTTTCCTTGCAAAATATATGCCTGAATTGTCTTTTCCTGTCATCCCTTTAGGTTTCCTCTGACTCAGTAGGCTACTGATCTCTACAACTTCTTACACGTCTTTTTCTTGCAAAATGGCTGAGTCTCGGCCTAATTCAACAAAGCCATTAAACCATGTTTCACTTTAAGCTTAGTGAAAGTCCCTTTGGAGGTAAGCATATAGCTAAGTACTGTATATTTATGCTTACCTATGGTGGTAAGCATACAGTTAAGAACTTTATTGAAAGGTTGTCTCTGTCATACAGGTGGACTTTTATACCTTGGTTATCTCAAATAGAGGCAGTTAAAGGTTTTGGGCCAAAAAATTTTTTAAAGAAGCTTATTATGTTAAAGGTGCAATGAATGAAACTGTTGAGTATAAGAGATCTGGAGGTGCAGATCCTGTTAACTACCTTCCAAAATGTCAGCCATACACACCAGCTAAAATGCTTAAGTGGATAGGTGTTGCTGGATGCTTCCGGTTGGGGCAATCAGACTACCTTCTTAGGTGTCACCACCTGAATGGGATCGCTTGTGGTGGAAATTTTGCCTTAGGACTCCCTTTGCAAGTGCAAAGTGGAACTGAGAGGATGCTGACCTTTGGCAAGCCATTCAGGGTAGCATTTCTACACAGGGATCCTTGGTATTAGTGCCTTAAAGCCAGAGGAGAATTTCTTTGCTTTGGGCTCTGTCAGATCAGGCTATTTGGTGTGATGCCTTTTAAGTCTGAAAACAAAACCAGGTATTTTTTCTGAAATGCCTGTGTAGCTCTACTGAAAATAGGGCTGCTGAATTAACCGGTGGGGGGTTGACCCCAATCTGGGATTTCAGACAAGTGCAAAACAAACTACCGTCCAATTAAAACTGTAGAGCAGAGGGAATTTTAGCTAGGTAGAAATGTAATTACCCATGCTGGAAGATGGCCAGAAGAACAGTACTAACATCCCTCTCCTCTTATGAAATATGCTATGTTTTTCTGTACTCATGGCTTCAATTTCATGTCTCATCTGAAAGATGAGTATGATG